CATACGCCCGGTGAGACAAAACAACTATGTCACAAGATAATGATCTCTTGCTGGTGCATTTAACAGCCCTTGGGGCATCACCAGTCACTTCCAGAGCAGGTCGCTCGAAGCCCTCACCGCTGTTAGCAGAATATCACTCGCTTTCATAAGCAATTGGTAATACCCCTCGACCAAGTCTAGTGCACTGTTCGTTGTACAGCCAACCATACTCTTCTGGAGAATTACTTCCAAGGAATCGGCGTTTGTGCCGGAGAAGACATTGTTGTAAGCCATAACAATACGCCACTTGCTTTTTGGCTTCCGAACACAAAACGTAGGGGTCGAACGTATCATTCCAGCATCGTGCTTCGCACGGAAAAAGGCGTCAATGACGTCACACTGCTCCTTGGGCAAGGGCCATTGGCGTGTTACGTAGTATTTGGTTCTCGCAACCAGGTCGATCTCATGACGCACACCTCGAGCCGGAGGTAGAACCGACGGCGGGTCTTTGGAGACGACGTCTAGGAATTCCTTTACCAAAGGATGATACGGATCCGAGGGATTTTTCAGGAGCGATGATCCTCTTCGTGCGTTCAGCACCCTCTTTGTGTCCTTCAGGTCAGCTTCATCCAGAAGCGATGACGATTTAATCTTGTTCGTTCGTATAATGACCACCTCGGCTAAATCGTCTGCCTTCGAGGCATCGCTTAACTCTTAGAAGGACATCTCGTCCAGCTCAAGAAGAGCATCAACCGCGGCAATATCCCGAGGGTGATGTCGCCGTCTTCCTTTCCCATCATTATGTTGGCAAGGGTATAAAGCGGTGCACTATCGACTACGGTAGAACCACCCTGGGTCAGGGTCGACGCCATGCATCTCGCGGATAACAATCGGCATCGCCGTCTCCTCTCTATAGGGGTTTTACGTCTCGTCGAGACCAATGTGAACATGCACTCAGCGTCGACCAGTGTCCCCAATCCCTGATCAATAGGAGCCTTATTGCTATTAGCAACATTCGAGGAAGAGCTACTTTTTCCGCAATTTTCGTCCAGTGGGTAACGCGCCACTCCACGCGCATCAGAAGACCGTGCTTGAGATGCCTCTGACCTCGTCTGAATATGCCACTTTTGGAATGCAGAAACTGTTTCGAAACGTGACCAGTGCTCTGTGGATTGCGTGCCACTTCACGTGCATCACTAGGGCTTTGCCCTCGATGCCTAGGACCTTGGCCGACCATGCCACTCTTGGCACACAGCATCTACTTTGATACTCGAGCAGTGCTTAGTGGGTTACGAGCCACACCAGGTTCAGCCCGCGAGCAATGCTCGGGACTCTTCGCCAATACACCGTCCGGTTCGTCAACTAGAATACTCCGACATTCAGCACATTGACCGTCCCGGACCAGTGCCCGTGCCAATAGCGCTTCTGCTTCGTAGCAGACGTGAATTTCGTGACTCACTAAAGCCCCACCAGGAGACGTGTGCGTAGCGCCAAAGTTCTTTGACCTCCAATTAATCCATGACTCATGGGCGTTCCAACTATGCTATATCAAGGATGAGATCATACCTTGAATCCAAGTGTAGTATTTAGCAGCGCTTCTCGCTATCGAAGTCAAGAAACCTGACACTGAGGCCCACAGGGAATTTCGGCAAATGTAACAAATTAGTGGTAATCGTGAAACGAGAAGATGAGCCTGTCCTTTCGAACAATATAATTTATATCTAAAATATCTTTAATTTTTGACAGTAACACAAGTACCCGTCGCTAAGCGAACAGTGACGGTGTCAATCAGTCGCGCTTCCAGCGATCAGCATACAGCTGACTCCCTTCGATCGTGAAGCGTCGAGCATAGTTGCTCGACGCACCAAAATCGCTAGAGATTTTCCATGGCTTATCAAAGCCCTTCATGTCACTTTTACGACAAGCAAACATATACGTTTCGTGTTCAAGAGCACACAGCTGATCGGGGCTGGGCCCCACTGCCCTCTAATTTGAGGCTCAACAGAGCTCAGTTGTTACCCAGTAGGGCGCCCCACGCCTACTGGGTGTGGTCGTTTAAAAGTGGGACGTCGGCTCAATGAACCTTGACGCGCCTTGCGCAGGGGGCAACCTGTCCGAAAGGGACGGGTGTCTCCATAGACAGAACACCATCGGGCTTTTGAACACTGCCCGGCAGCTCGGAGCTCTGCCTCCTCCTTTCTCAGCATAACTGATATCCATTGACTTAGGCCCGCTCGATGAGCATGAGGGTGTGTATTCCAACCAAGTCGTATTGACTTCAATTCGAATTCAATATATAATGCCACATGTACCGCTTCTTTAAAAGAGGACGGATGCACACGGAAGACTTTCATTCTGGCCTCGCCAGTGCGGAAGCCCTCCATAAAGATGATCACTGTGACCGCCTCGAGAAGAAGATCGGCTGCCATCCCGGCAATGAGAGTTCGCAACTCTTGGACAAAGTCCATCAATTCTTTCTTGCCCTATCAAGAGGCAAGGAAACGCGATCGCATCTGATTAGGTGGCGAGAAAACTCGCAAAAGCTGCAGCTTCAGCTCCTTCAAGTAGGGAAAACGAACGCTGGCGTCGGCCCCCGAGCTTGGAGATAGCTAGTGCCGCTACAGCTTGTTCTGAAGCATGAAGAATGCCATAGCCATCTCGGCCGCTCTTACCCAGTGCAGGAAATCCTCTTCATCCTTACCCTCGAAGGTCCTAGCGATCACCATGAGCGGCCTGGATCGGAAGGAGTCGTCCGTCGTCGACGGTGGCGTCATGGACGCAGTCGACGCCAACAGCTTCTGCTGTCTAGCAAAGCATTTTCATAGTTTGATCGCCTCTAGGCGCGCGATTATCGCTTTGGTACTTGCAAAACGAGGTGCTGTACGCCCTTAAGGCCAAGCAGGGACATCATCTTATTGAATCTGTCCTTCATGCCCTGGAGCAGATAGAAGAATTACTCCATCCTCACAAAGGATCAGTTGTAACGACTCGTTACGGGTGCTACCAAGTACAGCGAAGCCGCCGGAGCTCTTTGCCTAGAGGGAAGCTAAGCTAAGGTCATCGACCTTACGTTTTATACCAGAACCAGTACGAGTGTAGCAAATCGCAATTCGCTACCTCCAAGAGTACCCCTCAACCTTAACCAAGGCAAATACACTCTTTCGTTCAAAATCAAAACTGCATCTAATTGTTTTAATTGCGGCAGAACCACCTATATCTAAAACTTTAGGTTTTCTTGTTTGAAAAGTAAAACCTAATTAAAATGCATAATTATTGGCAGCCCCGCCAGATAGTGGCTTCTTGCTACGGCGTAGCCACACCATTGTGTAATTAAACCAATCTTCACCATCTTGTGTTACCCACCCTTTCATAAAAGAAAACATGTAACCCATTACACTCTGGGTACATGTAGCCCCTTTACAGTTAGCACAGCCACAATTTAGGCCTAAACTCGATTCCAATAAAAGATGTGTTACAGAACAACATTGTCGGCTGCGCTTCGCACAGTGAGCTCGACTTAGTTAGTAAAGATTTTTATTTGCTAATAAGGGACATGATTATCCATCTTACTGAGGCGAATACCCCTACTGGTAGTTGCTGGTTATGCCATACTGACTATCTAATACGCCAGAAATGCTCAATCAGCTGATTGCATAGCTAACCAGGCCATATTGTGGCTATACACAAACCTATCACAATAAATTACTTGTCCATTATCGAATAGCCGGATGGAAATAACCACATTAACACTCGCGAGCAATGCTCAAGTGTGTGCGCTTAAATAAGCTATTTACCAATATACTTATTTAGTGTGTCCTTGGCGCTGGCAGATATTTGAGGCGATGGGCTGTCACCTCGATCTTTACCACATGCTTTGTACGTTGCAGAGTCAAGCTCGAGGCGACGCTTTAGAGACTTCCACTTCGCTGGTGCTGGCTTCCAACGCCTTAAAACGGGGGAGTCGGCATGTGTTTCTCACTCAATGCTCGAGCTGAGTAATATTTTCAGCGGCACTCGAGCCAGCTCAACTCTAAGCGTAAACGGTATTCTTAATTACTGTAGGCCTTGAAAGGGCCCACAGAGTGGCCTTCTTGCATTAGTTTTGGCGAAAGCAAACGCCCACACTCTCAAGGGTGTGGGAACTCCGCACCAGCGTGATGAGAGACCTTAGCCAGCTCGAAACCATAACCGCGGCGTAACTTTTGCCCTATCATCAGAGCCAGCCAGGCCCCCTGACCAAGTCCAGCCCATTTTCATGAAGCTGAACATCGTCGAGAGCTACACAGTGGAGTGTTACAGCTTTTCTCACTGATGGAGAAGTCCGAGATTCGCGTTGCGGGGAGGCCGGGCACAAGAAGCACCTCTTTCTTGAAAAAGGCTCAGTATGGTATAATTGAGATAAGGCGGAGGTGCTTTGTCAGAACTCGAGGAGTCACTTCGACCGTTTGCATCAGACAACTCTTGTCATTCTAACCAATATATTTTTTAGTCTATTCGATTTTGGTTATAGGAGGGAATTTTCTGTGCAAGCATGCCTTAGAGAGCAGACACGGTAAATTACAGCGCCGAAAGTGGAACCCCAGGTGCAGTGGCTGCTGGTGGAGAAGTCACTGTTAAGTTTTTACCAAAAGTCAAGACCTTTCCACTTTCGTTTTGGATTTCATGTGCATACATTGCAAAAGCCAAAAGGTTTTTGGGAGTTACCCGGCGCCGCCGCATTGCGAGTGATAAGTGCATGGTGGATGCCAAGCCGTAACATTCGCTATTTCAGCTCGCTCCAATACGCAGTTCAGCTGGTATCGCATTTCATGATAGATACTTTTGCTCAAGTTTGTTTTTGTTCTGTTGTATGAACGATACGTTTTTGCATTATTGTCAATATTGTGACTTTAATAAGGTAAAAAAAGATGAAGATTAATACGCTTTTTGTTGATCTCTAGGCCTAATCCTGTTATCCTGATTCTTTTCAAGATGTAGTAATAATAAACAATTGACCTCATATTAAACCAAGTTGATAAAGCTTAGAATGCGGGCGCTCCCGCTTCGTGGATCGTACACTCGAGTGGACCTTTCACGGGAAGGGTGACGCTGTAATCATACGTAATTTTAAACGGATCCTCGATAGTTTTAATGTCAAAGCGACTGAACAGTACAGCAATGACCGTCTGCATTTCCAGCAATGCGAAGCGCATGCCCACACACTGATGTGGACCGCCTCCAAATGTCACAAATTGAAATGGATTTACGAATTTCATCTTTCCTGTCTCTTCATCAAGCCAACGATCTGGATTGTATTCGGCCGCATCTTCTCCCCAAACATTTGTCATCCGTGCAGCAGCGTATACTGATACGACAACATATGCGCCCAACGGAACAAACGTGCCTTCCCGAAGCGTAGTAGATCGTGAGGGCGCACGATGTACGCCCGTCATGAAAAGACGCAAACTCTCCTTTAGTACTGCCTCAATGTATGGCACCTTGCTGAGATCCTCCATGGTTGGAGCTTGCATTTCACCAGTCATGAGTTTGGGCAACTTCTCGCGAATCTCTTGACGAAGCTTGGCCAAGACACGGGGGTGACGATTTAGATTCACGATAACCCAAGCCAGACTAAAACTAGTTGTCTCCTTGCCCGCAAGAAAAAAATTCATCATGGCATCACGAATATCAGAGGAGTCGGTTTTACCAGTCGAATCAATGAAAAGTGTCAGTAAATCTGTCTTGGTCTTCCAATCGTCCACAGTCTTGGACTTAATGGACTCGTGTACTACTTCGTTCAACAACTCAGTGGCAACTTTAATGCAACGTTTGAGCATTCGTTCATCGCCAACATTCAGGAAACGTTTAAGCTTCCAATACCACATTGGCGACTGCAAACGCGCCCCGAAGACTTCGGCATACCCATCGACAGCCTGAATAAATGGATGGTCCATTTCCGAGTTTAAATCACCATCCAGACCGTGAAGATCTACACCAAAGCCAACTTTAGTAAAGACGTCACTTGAGAACTTGCCTAACAACGACCTCATGGGTACAATTCGTCTATCTTTTGCACATTGCGCGAGAACGTCACGAAATCTCACTGATTTTTCAATAATTACATCTTCCATGACGTCGCGTAACATTTTCATGGAAAACATACGACTCGCAATCCGTCTTTGTTTAATCCACTTTTCTCCGTCGACACCAGCGACACCTTCACCAAAAATATCATGCTGGAGATCTACAAGATCGTCACCACGACCGAAAACGTTAAATTGTGTCTTAAAAACGTCCTCACATGCTTCAGGTGATGTGATAATAAGCGTTTGCGGACGACCGATGATTCTAAGTACCCAGGGCCTTCCTTTGCTGATTTGACTCTGCTCAGCCATCCAGTCTTGCAGTCGATTTTTTTGAAAGAACATGACGTCAAGTGTGTTGCCAAGAATTGGCAGCGTCGACTTAGGTCTGTGCAGTCGTTGAGCATCCAAAGCACAGGTAATTTTCATCTCTTTGTACATCGCAGGCAGCAACTTGTAGCCTAAATACAAACCACCTAACACCCCAAAGACAAGCCACGTTTGTTGCTCATTCACTCGATGCTGCGCGATTCCCCACATCTTCAGACCTCAGTCAACAGGTGAAAATTAAGAACTGATGATGATTCAGACCTAACAAACAAAGCACAACTCCCTTCGAACTTAAATGTATGTAAATGTTGTCTATTCTGACTTGATGATTTTTATCTCTGATCGCAGTAAGATGGTACAGATTCGACTGGCTGGCTATACAGAGTCAAGGTTGAGCTTTTTGGGCAATCACTATTCTTACAGAAATACATAAATGAGACGAAGGAGAGAATTAAGGTATCAGACCCGCAGTCTTGAGAATGGAAAACATGACAAATACCGCGCGTGTTTCATCGCTCTTTTGCATCATGAAGGCACTGGAACAGTCTCATTTACAATTTATTATTGACGCGATTAATCAGACCAGACTGCGCTTTCGATTTAATAAATGCAGTAAATGATTTCCATGTACAGGAAATTGCAAAGGTCTGATATGAAAATCGCGCAGATGGCAAAATCTTTCGCGATCGTGTTGCCAACCAAGCATAGACGGGTTATGGAGATTCATTATCGTTGAAGAAGGCTTAATACCTTCCTTCGGATGTCTTTTTAAATTTCTTTGTACAGAAACTCGTCTAGGTACCACCACTATCAGGATGGAGTTTGTGTTTTGTTTGATAGGCAGATTCATAATCATTGATTGCGGAGCTTATCGATTTGCATCATCGTAAATTGTAGAATTTCAAAATTAATGGCGAATTTTGCGACGAGCTCTGACATTGTAGATCCATCACTTGTTTTCTTAAGCCAAATACCAACATGTCTGTCCGCTTGATCGTATCGGTAAACATGTCGTTGCGCTAAATCTGATTCTTTTTTTGGAACCTTCGACGATAATATAGGAGCATAAACCGTCGTCGCCAATGCCACAGGTCAGAAGGGAAAAAGCCTGGTCAGGATGACAAAAGCAGTTCATGACTCTCAAGTACAGTATTAAGATATAGAAGCGACAAAAAAAGTCATTCGCGCTGAAATGCTTCAGCATATTTAATTTACGATGTCATTATAGTCGAAGCGGGTCAAGCAATTAATAAGTACTTTCCTGGAGAAAGCTCCTCTACTTTAAAAGGACAATCTAGCGTCGAATGTTATCACTCGCAAGGTCTCACAAAAGAGTACTTTGAGTTTGTCGCAAGCTTGAATTAACATGGTAAAGGATATCGTTGAAGCACATTGAACACTTAATTATGTCTGAGTCTGTTCCCATCAATCCTTAGATCGAACGGTATGTGTTTCCTGTTTATCAACAGTCAGACATCACGGAGAAAACGTCTGATCAAAGAAAGAGAATAAGGTTACGGATCTTAATCTTGATCATTAAACAGTCATCCCAACTTTACAGGGAATCGGTTCGAATCGGAGCCGTCTATGCCGTCACCAAAATGGTAGAAAACTTGAGCAAGGAGAAGTAGCAGCAATTCCAGCACTATTTATGAAAAGACGTACCCGATAATGGTGTACGTGAACGTACACTGTTGATCCTCGAAGTAGAGGTGGAGCACCATAATGAAGTATTAGGATTCATACTCGATACCTCGCACGATTTATTAGATATACAGGGTTTTACTAATAGAGGCCAGCAAAATGTCTGAATATTTCTTAATTTAGCTGGCTTAATAATATAAGCACACTTTAATTTAAGATCGTGTAAATAATGTCCGAAACCCTAGGGACCCAGCCTTTGTCGTTGACTAAAGCGACTGTCGGGAGGCAAAACTTTCTTTTTTCAAGCGGAGCAACGCCTTTGCCTTTACTAGCACCCTTCCTCACACGATAGAGTCTAAATGAGACCGCATCATCGGTGAAGATGGAACATTAAATGTTCACAAATTTATCTTCATTCGTTTAATGAGTTTCTGATTCCAGCTGATAGCGGCTCAAGTCCCGAAAGTGGTCGCTTCTTGTTTTAAGGCGTTCAATGACTATGAAAAATCGCTAGTGAGTTACCCCCAGTTATGTCTCAACCAAATGTCGGTGGAAGAACCATTGACTCCCGCTCAATTCTATTGAGCGAGACCGCTTCTATCAAGCGTCATACTCCATCTAGCAAAACGAAGATAATTTCCCATCCTGGATACGCGAGGTTGGGACTGCTATTGCCTTAACTCTGCTCCAGCGTTGTCAAGATGAGGTAGTACCTCTAGCACTGTCTTGCAGTATCTCAATGAATAAGACAATCTATACTGATAACTACTCGAATGACAGATACCGTGAGTATTCGCATCGCCTACTTATGCTTACCGCGTTCAGCCAAAATTATTTGCTACCCATCTGAGAAAAAAGAGGATTGGTATTTTGAGTGGATGACGGCTGAACCTCTTCCGCAATCGGTAACCCTTGCCTGATGCACGAACGGCCGTCGTACTGCTGCGTTTTCTGAAAACTCTACCTCAGTCAGAATGAGAAAAGAGAGAGTGATTCCTAGCTGATTAGCTCTGTAGTACTCGCAAGGGGTGAAACAGATCAATTTATAATCTGTGCAATCACATCTCTCTCAATTGAGCGTTTGTACATCACATTTCCGTGCACCTCGCCCAGATGGACCTTTGAAAATACAAGTCAAAATTTCCAATGCAATACGTATCGATGGTACGTCTAAACGGTGTAATTATTACTGTTTCTTCCAAAACTCCAGGGTAAAACATATTTAGTAACTTGAGTTGTAGATGGCAGTAAATATACATACAATATGCATACTGGAGAATCAAAAGATCAACAAAATTGTGGAGTTCGTTGGTCTTCATCCATACCGAGTACTCACGATGATCTTTCATCAGTACAGCATCGTAGAGCCACACAATGGTACTGCTGAGCTTTGCTCTAAGTCTTTTAGGCAATGCCAATACTTCGGTCGGGTTTCAATTTTTGTGGTGGGGTGTAACGAGATACATACCCCAGTTTAACTTACGTACACAAAACACCGTTACTTTTCGGGCATAGAGCAAAGCCCAGTAGTATTAAAGTAAAAGTTCGCGATGAGGCACTAATGCGGGATCATAATAAGTCCTCGATACGAATTCAGGTCATGGGACTCCGAACTGGGGTCAGTGTCTTCCAGCAGATCCGAAAGCCTCACGAGCAACTACGATTCCAGAAGTTTGTATTCTCTCAGGTACACCTATCCTAGTTATAATGAGTCTCATACACTTTAAAAATCATCCCTTCACTAAATCTGTGGTAGCTAAAATTGACGAGCACCGATAAATACTTGCTTTTTCGCAACCAACAAGCTGCAAACCATTTCCGACAAGACAATCGTTAAAGACGATCACTGTGACTCTTCGAGTCCTTTCTTAACAGCTACACCTTCACTGAAGGCTAAACCGAAGTCCCTTTCAGGATTAGGTCATTCATGCTCCACCCACCTCCGGACAAATCACTTACTTTGTTACGTTCCCTAAGGCGAAGAGTGACTCAACCGCGAAACTCTCGACGAAGGCCAGGTCCGTAACGGGGTTACACGTACTCTGGTATGAAAGGGTGGGTCACACAAGATGGCGTGACCATAGACAGGTGTGTATTCCACAAGACAGTGTAAGCACACAATGATGTTGCTACATCGTAACAAAGAATCCACTACGTGGCAGGACTACCAGTAGTTATGTATATTTATTCGGTTATACTATTTAATTAGGAGCACGAAGGCTTAAGGTTTAGGCGGTTTTGCCGCAAATAAAACACTTAAATGAATTTTAATTTTGAACGGAAGAGCGTATTTGCCTTGGTTAAGGTTTTGGGGTACTCTTGGAGGTAGCGGATTGCGATCCGCTACACTCGTACTGGTTCTAGTATAGAACGAAGGTCGGCGACCCTAAGTAAGCTTCCTCTAAGCAAAGAGCTACGGCAGCCCTGCTGCACATGGTAGCACTTGTAGTCAAGCTACGCCCGAGTCGTTTGGACTGATCCTCTGTGAGGAAAGAGCAATTCTCCTTTTTGTCCCAGTGCATGCAGGACGGGCTGGAATAGCTGATATCCCTACGCGTGGTAATAGTCTGCATTGGAGTTAATGTGTTTCACTTGGCCCTGAGGGCTTGCAACACCTTGCTTCGCAAGGACCTAAAGAAATATGCGCACGTTTTCAAGCTATGAAATACTTTGCTAGAGCACCCACAGCAGAAGTTGTCGACGTCGATTGCGTCCATTTCGCCACCGTCGATGACGGATGACTCCTCTCAGCCCAGGCAGCTCATGGTGGATGTTAGGACCTTCGAGGGTAAGAATCGAGAGAATTTCTTGCTCGGGTGAGAGAGGCTGAGATGGCTATGGCATCCACCATGCTCCAGAACGAGGAAGAGTGCATGGCGCTAGCTATCTCCAAGCTCGGGGGTCGAGTGCGAGAATGGGCACTGAGCTGCGATATTTCGGTTGAGGCGGCATTTTCCTTCTCGAAAGATCTGAAGCTGCAGCTTTTGCAAGTATTCTCGCCCTCTAACTAGGCATATCGTGTGAGATCGCGTTTCCTTGCCGCTTGAAAGGGCAACAAAAAATTGGTGGACTTTGATAAGAGTTGCGAACTCGCATTACCGGGAATGGCAGCCGATCCTCTCCCGGAGGCGATCGGTCACAGTGACAGCTTTTATGGAGGCTCCACGCACTGGCGTGGATCCGTCTTCTTTTGAATAAGCGGTGAATTTGGCATTGAATACCGAATTCAACTTCAAGTCGGCACGTCTTGGTTGGATTGCACACCCTCAGAGCTCGTTTAGCGGGCCTGAGCCAACGGCTCTCAGCTATACTGAGAAGGAGGAGGGAGAGCTCCAAGCTGCTGAGCAGCGTGTAAGCACCCGAAGGTGTTGTATTTGTGTAAACTCCCGTCATCTTCGGACGCGCATAAAGGTTCGTCGAACCGACGTCCCGTGTCAAACCATTTGGTTTGACGCGTGGAAACGAGACCACCCAGTAGGCGCGTGGCGCCCTACTGGGGAAGAACTGAATTCTGTTGTGCCCAAAGTGGTTGAGTGTAGCCGGTTCCTGCTATGAAGAGCTCCGTGCTCCTGAAGACGGAACATGTAGAGAAGCCGGGCTTGCTGATCGTAAAAGCGCCGGTGGAGCTTTGATAAGCCATGGAAGATCTCATCAATTCTGGTGCGTCGGGCAATTTTGCTCGATGCTCCAGGATCTAAGGAAGTCAGCTGTATGCTGAGGTGCTGGAAGCGCGGTTGAGACATCGTCACTTTTAGCTTAGCGACGGGGACTTGTGTCACTGTGCCGAGATTCCCCGTGGGCCTCGGTGTCAAGTTTCTTGACTTCGATAGCTTCCGCTAGGAAGCAGAAGCGATTTTGGGCGCGATCACTTGTCTGGGACGGTTGACGTGTTGGATATCGGAGTATCTGAGTTGTCGAACACCGAAGGTGTATTGGACAATAGTCTCGAGCATGACTCGAGGGCTGAACCTTTAGTGGCACGTAGCCCACGGAGCACTGCTCAAGCATTTAACCGGTTTCTGCATAGCAAGAGTGTCATTGTCGGCCAAGGGCCGAGGCGTCGAGGGCGAGGTCCCAGCGATGCACATGGAGTGGCACGTAACCAGCTGATCACTGCTCAAGTATCAAAGCAGTTGCTGCATGCCAGGAGTGGCTTAGTCGGACGAGGTCCGGCATCGTGGGCAAGGCCCCATTTATAAACGTGGAGAGGCACGAGCACAGCTCACGTTTTTAAGCAATTGCTGCATGCTAAGAGTGTCATCAATGGTTGGACGAGGTCCGAGGCATGCCCTTCAGATGTGCAGCGGGGCTGCCGTAGCTCTTTGCTTAGAGGAAGCCAAGCTAAGGTCACCGACTTACGTTCTTTCCAAGAACCAGTTCGAGTCTAGCGAATCGCAATCGTGTGAGATACGGCTTCCGCTCGGCGGGTCCCGATTCTGAAGCGAAAAACGCGATCACTCGATCTTTACGTAGTCGGGCCCCAGGCCACTTCACAAGCGAAGCTTTATCAGCATAAAGCTGTGCGAGCTCGCTTTTTGGTACACAAGAAATCCCAATGACTCGGTACCGCGCTCGATTTTGAGCTCAAAAGGAGGCGCTCCTATACCCGCAATGCGGACCATCCATGTGCTACCCGCCCTTGGTGAAATCGCTGCAGATTTCGATGAGCTCTTTGAGGGATAAGAGCAGCAACACCGGAAACATTCTTCGCCGTCTACCTTACAGCAAAGCCACAAGGAAGTGGACGTGCGCGTTGAGCGCCATCTTAGATTTGAGTTTTCCAACTTCAAGGCGCAACGCCGACTTCCTGCGTAATGTCGCCCTGCGCCATATGGAAAACCATAACGCTCCCGCGAGCTCTGTGGTTTCTCACTGGTGAATCTACGACCAAGGCAGCTCATAGCCGTTGCTTGAGCTTAGCCCATGGACTTCAGACCTTCCGGCCTACTGCCGAGAAGCGCGGTACATAAGACAACGCGAACCGTCATGATCCTTCTGATCATAAGAGTCTACGACGTCTGGGCAGTCTTGCCGAAGTGGCACCTCAAACTCCCACAAATTTTTGAAGTTTGGGTATCCCCGCCACTTCACAAGATCCCGTTGATGACGTCGGTTGACAAGGCATTCTACGTGGTAGTTGTGGTCA